GCCATTTTATAGGAAAAAAATTTTGGCCTTTTATCCAACTTCATCCTCATAAAATTAAAAGATAATTTTGTCAATTAATACATATTTCCAACTCCTATTGCTAAAAACAATTCAAAAATACAACACTAGGGCCTCCCCGGTGGCACAGTGGTTGAGCACAGCACTGTGACGCTTTCTGCAACCTCTGCAGTGTGGGTTCGATCCCAGCCCACCAGGGAGATACCCACATGGTGTGGCAGACCTCTCCTGTCATGCCTGCTGCTCCCCTCAGCAGTGTTTTCAGTCTGTCTGCCTGTTCTGCTCCACACTCTGTCTCTGATGAATTTTCTCACCTCCCGCCCTCTGGCCTGTACCCCAGTTTTTGCATAAATAAAATAAATCTTAAAAAAAAAAAAAAGACAACTCCAAATCATACCAGAAAGTAGAAGCTGATAGATGATAAACTGACCAAATTGACTAGTATAGGAAAGGCTGGAAACTTGTCCAGTTTTTACATTCAATTCCAAATGTATGTGATGATAAAAGGATATAAGAACTTTCTCCTAAATCACCAGCGATATCTTCTTCATTAAGCAAAAGTGATCAGAGCTATACATTCAGCATACATTTCAGGCTAGTACCAGAAACCCTTTCAAAGGTTCATCAGAAAATCTTTCAAGAAGATGGCAATAGCCAACCAGCAAAATAACCACCTCCATCCAGAGCTACCACTTATTCCATCTATCTGTGTTTCAGATAATATTTTTCAGTAAAATCAGGTCATTACCCCAGAACCAGTTTTAACAGCTAATTCATCGTCTAAAAAGATAAGCTGACCCAAAATGTGGAGGCTGATGATCTTACAAGCTCAAATAGGAGCATTAAGCTGATGGGATAGCTCATTTATAATCACTAACTATATACTCAGAACTCAATATTCAACCTGTGTCACAAATATTATTTCCATCACCCATGGAAATCAAATGAACTTCTCGGCTCAATTGGAAATTCATGGAGCTTATTACAGGAGCTATGTCAGTAAATGTCATGGCCAGCCCCTGAAAGAAAGAATACTCTATCTTCACAAAGGTTCTACCAGCTAGACAACATTTATCCCTTCTTTCCAACCTGTACAGTCTCTGCATTGTGGCGACATAAATCTCAGTGGAGTAGAAGTAAAAGATGACATTTACATGGTAGTGAAGCAAAGATGATTTTAAACCAAAGACTGAGGGACTAGGAGAATGCAGAACTCACCTGCCACCACCACCAACCCAGTATATGTTGAAATGAGCAGCCTCGAGACAGCACATATTTAGGGTAAAAATATGTCTTAAGAATGCAAAAGGAACAAATTAACAAAGAGTTACAGAAAATGATTTGTGAAGAAGGGGAGCCTATCATACAGTGGAAGCAATGTAGATATTCCCATTTTCATACCCTCTTTGCTTGGTTAACTCCTAGTTAAGTTTTAAGAATTAATTTAGCAGTAGTTCCTTAAGATGTTCTTCACACCCCGCAAATCTTGACTTAGCACTACTTCAGGGTGTTACCACATCACCTGTTATAATATACATTATCTTTTGTGGCAATTAAGCTTTTTATTGGACTATAATTCACCATAAAATTCAATTTTTTTAGGTATACAATTCAGTGGATTTTATTATATTTACAAAGTTGGGCAATTGCCACCAAAATTTAATTCCAGAAAATTTTATCACTCCAAAAGAAAATTCATACCTATTAGCAGTCACTCGCTATTCATCTTTCCGTCCAGTCCTTGGCAATTACAAATCTACTTTCTCTTTCTGTGGATTTAGCTAATGTGGGTATTTTATGTAAGTGGAACTATACACTGAATAATCTTTTAGTGGCTGGCTTCTTTGATATGGCCTAATGTTTTCAAGGTTTATCTGTACAGAAGTAAGTAACAGTACTTCCATTTACATTCCATATTTAAAAAAAAAATAATTTACCAGTTGATGGACATGTGAGTTGTTTCTACTTTCGCCTGCTATGAAAAATGCTGCTATGAGCACTGGGGTACAGATTTTTAAGTTGACCTTTGTTTTCAATTCCCTTGAAGATACACTTAGGAGTACAATTGTTGGGTTATGTGTTTAACTTTTTGAAAAAAATGCCAAACTATTTTTCATTTTCTAATCCCACCAGTATGTAATTGTCTTCCACTTATCTAAACATCAAGTTTTTTGAGAGTGGGGACTAAGTCTTATGTCAGCAGCTAGCTTATAGTGTCTAATGCACCACCGCATTGATGCTTAATGCAGTGTGGCTGTCCATGAGCATTTGCGAACAACTGAATAAAAGCCCAAAATAATTTTTTCACCTATGCCTTCTTCTAGAAAACACTTATCAGAGTATCCCCTCCATTAAAATGCTTTCTCCCGATATCTTTGACTGTTGTCTACCCAGACTCTTTTCCTATGAAACTATTCTTAGGTGCCAGTACTTCCTGAAATGGGTGCTCTAATATCAAAATCAGAGGGTTGTGCTTTACTTGGGGCAGCTTACCAGGACATTAGACAAGTTAATGTAATATAATCTGATAGTAGAATCAAGTGTTTTTAAGTTATTCCAGTTAGCAGGCAGTTATTTATGTGATCATTTTCAAAGTGATCCTCCAGTAAATACATGGACCTTATTTGGCTCTAGGGCACCCTCTGCTGGCTCTTCTGCCAATAGCACTACAATGAACCTGAGGGAGAAGAGAGGGTCGACTCCCACAAAGGGCAAGAGGCACACAGGGGACCCAACCCATGATAAAGACAGTCAGCAAAGATCTACAGATGAAGACCAGTTCTGGGTAGGATTTAGCTTCCCATCGCTGTCACTTAAGTAGCCTGATGATTTCCAGCTCTGGTCAGTTGAAGTGGCTGTTGCTTGGAGTAAATATCTATTTGATCCTCAGAAACGAAATGGACACATGCACATGTGGAACTTATACTTTAAACATGACCAACTCCTCTTGCTATGATGTAGCTTATGTCTCCAATAAAATATCAATATACATAAATTTCTAGCAGAGATTCACCAAAATTTTTTTCACTTCTGCCCCAACTGACAAACATTTCTGATACTCAGAAAGAGACGTTCCTCAGAAGGAAACTGTTCATCATCTCAGTTTTCTAAGAATAGAACTCAGATGTAACTGAGTTCTGAGAACACAGTTCTGAGAGCTCAGAACTGTGTTCAATAATTATTAAGGTTTTATATACATTAGCCGTGTTAAGGAGAATGTCCCCCAAGGATACCAATGCCCAAATCACTATAAACTGTAAATATGTTTAATTATAGGGCAAAAGATTATAGACTTTAAAATAGGAAGACTGTACTGGATTATCCAGATGGACTCATCATCTCACGAGCCCTTAAACAGAGATGGAGAGATCTTTCTCTGGCTGAAATCAGGAAAGATGCTGCAGGAGAAATCAGGAAGATTTGAAGGTTGAGAACATCTTGACCCAATACTTCTGGAGAGGGCCACATGGAAAGCACAAGAAACAATACAGACATCCTGTAGGAGATAAAATCAGTCCCCAAATGTCAGCCCATCTGGAAATGGGGAGTCAGTCCTATAATCACATGGACTTGAATTTAGCTGGCAACAAATTCATGTTGGAGCAGAATTTCCTCAGAACCTGGAGAACTCACTTCAGTAAGCACCAGGATTTCAACCTTGTGATATACTCCAAATTCTCACCTCCGGAACTGTGAATAATACCTTTGTATTGTTTTAAGCCACTATGTCATCTTTCATGTCAGCAATAGAAAACTAATACATTACCAAATGTCAGGACATTAAATTCTAATATTCTGTGATTCTGAAACAAAATAACCACTAGAACAATGAATTAAAATTTCAAATTCCCAGATCAAGTCACATTCCACTACCAAATGATATGTTTTATAGTACAAGGGAGATTTCCATTATTAATTACTGGGTTGCGGGTTGAGTGCCACACAGTGAGGCTGTCCACAGCCTCTGCAGCATGGGTTCGATCCCCAACCGGCCAGGGAGATACCCACATGGGGCGGCAGACCTCCTGTTTCACCTGCTGCTCCCTTCAGCTGTGTATTTTAGTTCTTCTGCCTGTTCTGTTCTCCTCTCTGTCTCTGGTGAATTCTCTCACCCTCCCACGCCTCTGACCTATACCCCAGTTCTTGTATAAATAAATAAAATCTTTATTAAAAAATTTATTTTAAAAAGTTACTCAGTATTTTTTAATGTTATGTAAGAATACTATACCAGTCTCTAAGTAATTATCTTCTCCATCATTTACAACTTTAGCTTTCATTTTCAAAAAGTAAATAGAGAATTACTTTGTCAAGGCTTTTTCAAATTGTCTCAGTTTAATATAGTTCACTTTAAGTGTATATCTCTTTCATAATGTGTTCAATATATTTTATTAAATTCTTATTCTAAATATCCATATGTTAGTAACATTAATATAAAGTGATCATTAGCACAGTTGAATGAATTAATGTCTACAAATATGTGAGAACATAAATGTGAATAGACAAATGATGCCACAGATTAACAGGCCTCAAATGTACCCAGAATTCAAGTCACTATGAGTGCTTGGGTGGTGGGGATGGTGTGATGACATTCACTGGGGAGTAGTACTTATTCCCTTAAATCATATAAACTATTGTAAACCAATGTTAGCTCAATAAAGGGAAAAAAAAGAATTCTAAGTCACTTGATTTGTATCATAAAAATATGTAAGTCCAATAAGAACGAATTACTTTGTAATAGAACTTTATTTGTACTATGGCCATATTTTTGGTATTTATATTTCTTAAATTAGTAGCTCAAAGGTGTGTGTGGCTTTCTTACATGCACATCACTGTTCCACCAGCTCCTGATCTGCAGAATACACACTTGGGATATTCCAAGTTCTACAACCTTCAATGTTTCCAAAATACAACCAAAAACCTGGACTTTTCCAGACAATCTAGAGTGAACTGTACTGTCTAGATTTAGGAACATGGACACCTACTTTTTCTGAGTCCTTTCAGCCAGCCTTGCAATCTCAATAGATTTCTTCCTTGCTTCAAAATCCTCCCTTTTAATCACCTCTCCAGTCCCCCGGTAGCCGAGCTCCACCAACTGGCGGGCCAGGACTTCATCCTAAAGAAAAGATCAATTGTTACATTTGTGAATGAATAAGACACCTGATTTCATCCAGTGCACAGTGAGTCAGTCATTGTTCAAAATGAAAACTCAAATTTATTAAAAAATGAGAGAAGAGCTATTAGATGTGAAAAACTAGAATTCTCTCTAACAATACTTTTATACATACTTGATTTGTCATCTTTTTCCCACACATGTGAGGAGGAGAAAAAAAAAAAAGAAATAGCATCAATCACTAAATTTTCTCAAGGGATTAGAGGACAAAAGTCTATTGTGTTTTTAATCAATTTATGGGAACAGCTGTGGCTAATTAATAGAGTATCTTTAAAACAATAAAACTAGAGACAATAGAACTCAAACAAGAAAGATTTTTAAAAACCAACAGCACAAAAAGAAAAGTAGGTTGCTTTCTGAAAGTTCAACATTTCAGAGACTTGTATCCTTGAAGTCTAGTAACTGATGACATGGCATTATAACTTCAAATACAAAATAAAGAGCAGATGAATTTCCTGTTTAACTAAAAAGATATTGTTTCCATGCAACGTTGGTCCCAATAAAAATAGCAAGGTGACCACAAAAAGCTTCAAATTGAAAAAGTTTCCACACAATTCCGTAGTCCTTATGTATTTCAGTTATTTAAGGACTTACACATTTTGTCACCTGTATTGCATATTCAAGAAAAATATTACTTCTCTGTAATTTGAAAAGGTGCCACTTTACATGAAGTTACTAGGATATAAACTAAAGTATCACATGAAATATTTATGTATTAACAATGATCGTTATATTTTCATCTAAATAGGACATGTCTGAAATACAATAAATATATATATTTATATATATATATATATATATATATATATATATGGAATGCTGTTAACCCTGACTTAACACATCACTGTTAAATGCAAGAACTATCTAAATGATTAAATGAGAAAACTTAAGATGCATGGCTAATAATCTATTCCACCCAAAGTGGTTATTTTAAAGTTCAAACAAATAAAATGAAAAGAATTAGACTGTCAACATAGAAAGCATACTACTTCCCTTTGTTAAACATTCAAAGCAAATGCTGAACTCTGTATAGCAATGTGGCTACAATTGCCATGCTAATAAAATGTAAAGCACTAGTTTTGGGGGTTATTTGCCTTCTTTCTGACTTTTTTCCCTGCATAATAATTTTCTCCATCCCTAGCCTCTTTAATCTGAACCACAAAACTAAGCAAATGCCTCCACCTAGTGGAATTAATATTTAATAGAAAAAGCAATGCAGATTTTAGATTTGTTTTATAAGACACGATGTGAGCATAAATTTTCTAAATCTATTACTAAAAGTGAGTTTAAGAGAACTTTCAGGTAAACTCTGTAAAAATGTGAGGTTCTTTGAGAATATAAATTCCTTGGGGTAAACATAATATTTTACATAAAAAAAGATTATTCATAAGTTATAGCACTAATTTTGTATGTGGAGTTGAACTGTGCATTTCTGTCTTACCTGGGTAACACAAAATAATTTGGATAATTCTGAACCCATGTACACTAATGTACGTTGAAATAAATGACAAGATCCACTGAGAAAACAAGTATGAATTTGAACTTGGGGACCTAACATTACCATGTCCTAATTGGGTGAAATCAAAGGTCATCCCTCCACTTTATTTTTTTAATAAATATTTTCTATTGAAGTAATGCTGCTTTACATCATAGTTTATCATTTGGAACTACAGAATTCCCCCCTTCAGATGATGTTGTTACCATAGCATGAGCATGTACTGTCCACCACCATAGTCCACCATGCTCCACCCCCACTTTGTCCTCGCCCCTCCCCACTATTTCTCCCTGCTCTGGATGCCTCAGTTCTATAGTCATTTTTAAGGGCTAGTTTTGGAGTTTGGCTTTATCTGACCCATTGTCTGGTTTATTTATATCCCATCTACAAATGACATCACCTGGTGCTCATCTTTCTCCCTCTAATTTATTTCATTTAGCATAATCCCATCCTTGTTACAAAAGAGTTCATCTGACAGCTGAGTAGCATTTCTCTTCTTGATCCACTCACCTGATTTTGGACACCCAGATCGTTTCCGCAGTTTAATTATTGTAAACAGTGCTGCAAAGCACATGGGAGTGCAAGTTTCCATTTGAATTAGTGTTTTCAAGTTCTTTGGGTAGGTATCTAGGAGTGGAATTGCTGGGTCATGTGGCAGACAAATTTTTAATCTTTTGAGAAACCTCCTTACTGTTCTCCATCAGGTTTGAACGACTACTACTTTTCTTTTTTCTTTCTTTTTTTTATTTAAATTTTATTTTTATATTCCCTGAACTTAACTAAGCTAGAACTTAGTTTCCTATAATTTTCCTTCCTTTGTTAGTTTGGGTTTAGTTGGGCCACAGAAGGTATTTGCACTAGATTTAATTTCTTGTAGGATCTTCTCCTTCAACTTCTTCATATTTATCTCTGTGATTAAATGTGTTAGCTTCTCCAACAGATAACCCTGTCATCAAAGTTGAGGTATGGAAGAGGTGAGAATCTGATACAAGTTCCAGTTCATCTTAGTGAATTCTAGCTCATCCTTGCAGGTCTCATTTTGCCCTTTTGTCCCCCTCTCCCATGTTCCTTTCTTTTCTGGCACTCAGTTTTAATGACTTCAGGCTCTAGCACTGGACACCAAAGAAACAGGCTTTCATACACTGTTTAAACATTTCTATTAATTGTGTAAAGTCAAATATCTATTAAAAATTATATATGATTTTTTCTTTCCCTAATTTATTTAATTGAATAGTTTTTTCTAATTTTATTTTTCTAGTAAATGTATTAATGTATTTTTTCCTTTTTATTAAAGTTTCATATGTGATTTCCTTACCAAAATCTCCAAACACACATATACATATACATATGAAGATACACATGTGTATGCATGTGTATTACATGTGTAATATATTTACATATATGTATAATTATGTGTGTGTGTATTTTCTGTATCTCTGATTAAACCTGCAATGATTCACAATTAGCTACTGGTAATGGTTCCAGATGAACAGAAATTTAAGCAGTTTGTTCTGGGTTACTGGAATTGGTTCTCTGATTTTACTAGCCCTATTTACAGGGGTAAAGAATACACAGTAGTCCAGGGAATGCAGAGGCAAAAATTAAACATAAGGAAGACAAGGTTTTGGGTAATCAAGTGTTTACTGCCAGAGAAAATTAAGTGACAATAAGAATTATATAATGGGGTTGGTTGCTTTTCTGTGTGCTGAAGACATTGGTAATTGAAAATGAGGAGCTAAGAACTTGGGATTGGTGAGTTACATGACAATAGATTAATTACATAGGGCTACTTCCATAATGAAAGGGGAAAATATTTGGTATAGTTTTATAATTCTTAAAAAACATTATTTTCATAAACATGCTGTCATACATATGCAACTTTTCATTGAATAATTATTTTTATGCCCATGTGAGAATTGCCTGTTTGTATCATTTGTATGTTAGATTTTATCTATTTGTTATTGATTCATAGGGTTTCAATATAAGATAGCAAGTGCTTATAGTCTAAACTTTTCAAATATTTGTCTTTTGATTAATTTATGATACATTTTGTCACACAAAGCTTAAAATTTTGGTAAAGAAATCACATATGAAACCTTAATAAAAAGGAAAAATCACATTAATGCATTTGCTAGAAAAATAAAATTAGAAAAAAAAATCTATTCAACTAAATAAATTAGGGAAAGAACAAAATAGATGTAAATAATATGAAAGATAATGATTAATAAATCAACAGCAAAAGTGAATAAAATGGTAATTAAAATATGCAAATCCCTTACGTTTGATTGCTCAAAGAAAGTCAAGAGATTATTATTTAAAAATCCAATAAAATGGATAACATTTGTTAAGATTGATGGTAGGGAAAAAATACACAATTTTAGAAATCAGAAAGAAGCCATAACAATAGATATAAAGAAAATTATATATAACTTCACAGCAATAGCCTAAAAGTCCATATAAAGCATTTACTCAAGTTATGAATTCAAAATAGATCTATAGATGGTTTTATGAGTCCTTGATTTTCAAAAACAAAGTCTTTATTTTGCATTCCTATTTGAATGTTAGGTTATTTGGTTTATTAGTCAGAGTTCAGGCAGGAAATAGAAAACACATTTGAATAGAGTAATTGAAGGTAACTGAAGGACTGACTTAATTACAAAATATATAGACAGGGTTAAGAGAAATCCAAGTGGGGTAATGAAGCACCCTGAAGCTAACAACAGCAGAAAGCGATTAACTTAGTCCAAAAGAGGGAAGGGGCAGGAGCAGTTAATAGAACCCAGGGACACAGCTATAGGACTGAGCTACTAGACCCACAGTTGTAGATTGATGGAAGAAAATATCTATTGTTACCTTGCAGGACAGTATGTAAGCAGTATGAAGAGAAAATGGCCATGTTATTTCTCCTCCTGGCTTCTAATTTCTTCCTGGTACCTCTAAAGGCTGAACCCAAGTGGCCAGACACAAAAGGAATCCAGTTGAAGCAGTCAGCAGAAGTCAACTTCTTGGAGGCAAGAGCACAGAACAAGTTGAAAAAGGAACAAAATGCAGATATCAAGGGTCAAAGAGAGAATATCTACTCCAATCAGGAACAGACAACTAGGTGTAATACAAAATTTCCAAAGAAGTTTAAAGATACTACTTCATATTCTTTCAGGACTCACTATTGGAATACTTTGCAAAGTCTAAATCAATCCAACTCTTACTGATAAGTTAAAAACATTGATTTTTTTTTAATGAAGTAACTGATTTACTACATTGTTTATGTTTTATAAGTATAGGAACTTCAGGTGTTGTTACCACAGCATCCCCACCACCAAAACACCCATAGTACTCCACCATCATCCATTTGCTTCCTCCCATCATCCATTTGCTTCTCCCCCTCTCCCTCTGGTAGGCACACTAGTATAGTCAGCATGCCAGGATCTCTTAGTTTGGCTTTATCTGA